AGAAAGGTTAAGTGATGTGCCCAAGGTCACACAGCAAGTACTGGCAAAGATGAGACCGGATCCTAGAACCATGTTTTTTATCACAGTGGTTCCCAAGATGAATAAGACCCGCTGGCATTTATAAGTCATCAGTGGGTGGGAACTTCCAGAAGCAGAAAGTGCAGCTCAAGGGAGCCCTGCAGGATGGCCAGATCCGAGGTTTCGATGCAGGATTTCAGGGCTCTGTGAAGCCTGGGTATTTGTTTGTGTGTGCCATGGGCAGGCTGGCCGCAGGCCCCCAGGCCTGCCAAATCCTTAGTCTGGGCATCAGTATCCCAGTTGCACGTAGGCACACACGAAGCCCAGCCCACAGCTGCAGCTAGACTCCCTGGGGGGTCCCCACCTTGGCTACCTGCCCGTGGGGACTTGATGCCACCTGTTTTCCAGCCCTCAGGAAACAGAAGCATGTGTGTTTTCTCCATGAGTCTGCGAAGGCGCTTCTCCCACATTTTTTTCCTTCCCAATAAGGAAAGGCATTCCAGCAGGCAGAACTTCTGCCCTAGGGAGGAGACGAGCCAGGAAGGCCAGGTTTGTTCTGGACAATACCCTCTGGGACGATAGGAAATGGAGCCCGGAGAGCTCCCCAGAGCCCCGGGGAAACAGGGCCAGGAGGTGAGAATGTCTGCTCTTGGCAAGGAGAGAAACAAGAGTGAGCAGGTGGGCGCACACAAATAGAGGAAGCCAGTGATGAAAAGAATTAACAGGACACCACCCCTAGAGCCCCGGGCGAGAGGGGCCCTGAGTGTGGGGACAAGACCAGGAAGTCCCTCCTTAGGATGTAAGCCTGTGAGGTGGTGGCGGGGCCAGTCCTGCCTACGTGGCGCTTTGACCACCATTTCCTGTCCAGAAAAGTGCGTCCATGTCAGCAGGAAACAGCCCCTTAGAAATGCACCTGAGAGGAGGGGGGAGCGAGCTTTGTAAACTGTAAAATCTGTGCCCGTGTTTGTTAGCTCTTCTCCTTCGGAGCATTAACCCTGGAAATTGTAACAAGTGGCAAGGCAGGTGACGGCACAGTGACAAAGAAACACGAGGGCCAGTGCCAGCGTGTGGGCTTAGAAAGCACTGTTGACCACAGGGGGATGGCTGTGGGGTTTTGGAACAATACTCAGCTCAAACCCCAGAACTTGCCAGAAACAGCCTGGAGGCATCACTGCCTTGGGTCTCATTAGACCCCTGAGAGGCCTCGCCTGTCCTCTGGGGAATGCCCAGGACCAGGAAGTTATTTGATCAGTTGGGGAGCACGTGTTTATTCAGTCCTTAATTCATTCAACCAGTGTTTACTGGGTACCTATCATGTTCTGGGTCGCACAATAAAAAGTGTGATTACAATTACGGTAAACACTATAAAAAAGATGTACACGGTGCCATAAGGGCCTATAACCTGGATATATGATCTGTTATATAAGGGCCTACAATCAGGACAACAGAAGCAATCTGGTAAAACCCAGGAAGTATTGATGAGGAAGCCCAGAGCCCAAGGAGGAGTGGACATTAGTTAGGTAAAGAGAGAGGAACCCAGGCATAAGGAAGAGTCCATGAAAAGACCCTGCAATGAGCCAGAGAATGGCACGTGTATTGGTTAGCTTTTGCAGTGTAACAAGTCACTCCAAAACTTAACAACCACTACTTTTTTCAACCCACGATTTTGTGGGTCAGAAATGTTCCAGTCATCTAGGTCAGATTGTGGCCGATCTTGGCCGGGGCTCACTGGTGCATCCACGTCAGTTGCCGTGTCAGTGGAGAACTGGCCCACCATTGGCTGGGGCTCTTTGGTTCTTGGCCTCAAGGTCTGTCATTCTCCAGCGAGCTACCCTGGGCCTCCTTCACAGGGCAGCTAAAAGGCTTCCACAGGCAGCCGAAAAGGACCCACTCCAAAGCTCGGCAGCTTTCCACAGCTCTGCACCCTTCACACTTGCTCTTGTCCCACTGGCCAAAGGAAGGCACACGGCTCAACCCAGAGTCAGGCATGAACAAATCAGGGGCTGCCACTGCCACGATCTACCTCAGTGTGTTCAAGGAAGTGAAGGAAGGCCAGAAGACTAAAGAGGGATGGATGAAGGGGAGCATGGCGCGGCACAGGTTGAGGTGGCAGGGGCCAGGAGGCACAGGGCACTCTGAGAGTTTGCTCTTTACCTTAAAAGCAGGCAAGGCCTCTGGTTTCTGAGTCTCTGTCATGTGGGCTTGGTCATCACAAATACATCCCTTGGAGGCCACTGCCCTGGATGGCCTGGTAAAATGGACTTTCCAAGCTTGATGAGCTGAGGGCAGGACGTGGAGCATGGTCCACCCCACATCCCTGCCTGCAGCCCACACAGCTGTGAATGCCCCAGACCTCCCCTCCTCTGTGCCTCTGGACCTGTTTCTCTTTCCGCTGGGAAGCATCTTCTCGCCTCCTGCATGGGGCCAGTTCCTACCTCCTCAAGACTCAACTCAGGCACCACCACCTCAGAGAAGCCCTCCCTGATTTCTCTAAGCCCCAAGACTAGTGTTGATGAAAATAATCCATAACCAATCTATAAATGAAAATTTGGGTGAGTTTATTCTGAGCTTAAATCTGAGGATTATAACCCGGGGCCTTTCTTCCCGAAGGAAGAAAGGGCACCAAAGAAGTGGGGTGCACAGACTGGTTATATACCCCCAGAGAGGATGTTTCACATAGGATTGAAATGTCCCTTTTACAATAGTCGCGAGACTGCTCTGTCAGCACAGCGATTGATGGAAGCAGCAGGTAGGCCTTCTGTCTCAGTGAACACAGCAGGGTGGCAGTCTGTTGTCTCCAGCTGGGTGGTCACAGGTGAGCTGGGTGGTCAAAGGTGAGTGCCGCAATCAGTTCCTAGCCTAAGGAAAGATACTTATGCCTAAGGAAGTGCCAATGTGGGGGGAAGTTGCACCTTTATCTCAAGGGCCTTTGTTCTGGCCATAGGAAATGTCTAAGCAGATATACAATGCGTGCTCAACGGCCACAGTCAGGCCCTTTCGGAAAAAACAAAGTCAGGCCGAATTAGGTTTATACCAAATGGCTTCCTCGTATACTCCAATATATCCTATTGCTTGCCATTTTTATTTGTCACTAGGGACACAGTGAATGAGCCCCTGAGGGCTGGGTGTAAGCCTGTGACTCACTGTAGTGGCCCTGGGGTTGTGAGGACCAAGTTGGTGTGGGGCCCAGTCCTGCCCGTGTGGCACGCAGGCACAGTGCTTCTCCACGCTGTAACCATCTTTTGATCTGTCTGCCTCCCACCAGACTGTTCTCTGGAAGGGATGCTCATAACCCCAAGGCCTGCACATAGAAGAGGCAGAAATGCTTGAATGAATGAATGAATGGATGGATGAATGGACGGATGATTCCACCACTAAATAGGGCTTTCTTCTGAAAGCCCCAGCTAGTGTTATTAAAGTCTCTGTCACGGCAGTCAAGGCGAGAGGTTCTTTCCAAGAAGCCCCGGAGCTCCAGGGTCTCCCAGTCCCCACCTGAAGCCACCCACCCAGAGGAGAGAAGCCCCCTGACTCCGGGACAATCGAAGGCAGGGCAGGGGGAGAGTGAAGAGAAAGGAGCGTCTTGGGAGACAAGGGCCCCAACATCGTTTACTACGACAGGGAAGGAACCTCCACGGGAGCAGGCGCGAGCGACCTGGGCGCTGGGACAGCTGGCCAGGGGCACTGGGCGAGCACTGACCAGCTGGGCACTGAGGCCATGCAGCCAACTTAGAAGTTGGCTCCCTCACAACAGGCTGGAGAAGCAACGCCTGTGAACCGGAGTCCCCCTCACCAGGCCTGATAGAGACTTTTCCAAACCAGCCTACTGTTCTTGAAGGATGAGAGCGCAAATCATGCTGCCTCCCTTTTGCAGAAAAGAAACCTGAAGCCCAAGGAGATAAGCCTTTGACTCAGTGGCCACTCTACTAGTCATGGCCACCCTGATAAAAGACTACATTTCCCAGCATCCCTTGTGGCTAAATATGGCCATGTGACCAGGTCCCAGCCAACGAGATGTGAGTGCAAGTGATGTCTGTAACTTTGCGGGTTTGCTCACAAATGGCAGAGGTGGGCCCTCCTTTCTCGTTTTTCTCCTTCCCACCGCCTGGTGAGCCACCTTGGACCATATAGTCAAGGGCAACGTCTTAGAATGATGGACCAGCAACAACACGGAAAGAGCCAGAGTCCCTGATATCCGGGCACACAACCTGGGAGCCACCCTATCAGCCTTGCGCAGCGTATGCTGCACACACTGTTCAGCGAGAATAAAACAAAATAGCCTCTCTTGATTAAGCTACTATTATCTAAGTTACGTGCTAGAGCCTCTGAATCTGTATCCTCCTGACTCACATAGCACAGCCCAGGACGGCATTTCCTGAGGAAGTCCAGGACGATCGGGGGCTAATCCTAGGCATTCACATTGTCCCACGACCACAGAGCTGTGACCCATTTCCCAAGGACCAGCTGTCTTCTTGGAATAAGAGCTGGGGAAGCTGCTAGGAGGAAGCCACTGTATTGCCAAGGAAGTAAGCACACCTCATATTCCACCAGTATGGACACTGGTACATTTGCGCTAGCTGTTAAAACACTGAAATACTTCCAGAACGGCTGAGATGCAGCCTCTGCCCTGAGAAACCCCACCCCTCGAATGTTCCCCCTCCCCCGCTATCCTGGCCCCAGACCCAGCGATGGAAGGGGTAAAACCTGGCACAGAAAGGGGCCACCAGGACCTCGTCCTGACCTCTGGACAGTGACTCAGCAAGACTTACCAGGTGTCAAAGATTTTGAACGTCACCGCTGGCTATAAGGTAATTGAAGGGAAATGACACCCTGAACTCAGCGTCAAGGGTGATGAGGGTGACACGAGCTCTGAAATCCAGAGACTTGTCATTGAATTCCTACCTCCACCTCCTTCTCTCTCTCCTCCCCAGAGACAGAAACGCCCCAACCCCAGCCAGGACCATTCAGAACGTGCCACGATCACATCCAGACGTTATTGCACTCTTTTATTTACAGAAAACACAGATAAAGCATTTCAATGTTCATTTAGCAAACCGATCCACTCTTTTTTTTTTTTTTTCTTTTTGGCACAAAGAAATATCACAGATGGATCCCAAGATCAATCAGAAACCCCTAAGATTTATCAGCCATCACTGGTCCAGGGGCAGCCACAAGACTCAGACAGACAGACAGCATCGCCACAGACTGGAGAAAATAAACAAGGTCCACATTCACCTCACAGTAAAAACCTGTGCGCCGACAGGCAAGGGCGGGCAGGAGGGGGCAGTTTCTCTGCTCCGAGGGGGGGCGGTGGGCATTGGGGACAGGAAGCCAGATGGGGAAGGATAGACACCATTCATAAATTAGAGAGAAGTGGCCTTTGTGTTTTGAGCCTCTTGCGTTGCAGAAGTAACAGTGCAAAAACTACCATACCCTGACCACTTGTTCCAAAAGCTTCCGAAGTTGTGTGGTTTGGGGTGTCTCTCCTCGTGGGCGCCCGTGTGTGTCTGTGTGTGTGTGTGTGTATGTGTGAGTGTGGTGCTTGTAAACATTGTCACCATTCACACAGAGACCCAACGTCCGTGTGTCCGAATGGAGTGGGATGGGGGCTGGACCCCACTTGCTGCCCCCTCTGGCGCAGTGATTCCTGTCCAGGACATAGTGCAAATTTCAGAGACAAAGAGAGGCAGAAGGGCGTGGGGAGTGGGCGGGGGGCAGGAAGGACACAAAGACGGGGGCGGGGAGGGAGGGGGAGATAAGGCAACAGTTAAAAACGGTCCATTTTATCAAAACCGACACGATGTGCCCCTCACCCCCACCCACGGAGCCCCCGTCACGAGAAAGGGCGGAAGTCCCGCTCCTCCACCAGACTGATGGAGGGGTCCTTGAGCTCCTGCTCCGAGGCGGCCATCCGGTAGCCCAGCTGCGCCAGCACCCGCTGGCAGGCGTTCTGGGCGAAGGCCACAATGTCATAGGACAGGCGGAAGCGCCAGTTCTCGGCCGTGGCCGCCGAGTTGCGCACGGTGCCGTATTTGTGCTTGCCCAAGGCGGGGTCCCCCTGCGTGTTGTTCTGGATCCAGCGGGCCACGTGGCTGTCCAGGGGGATGCCCAGGAAGCCATAGATCTCCTCGGTCTTCTTCATGGGGTTCCTGGCCAGGTCCTCGTAGCGCACCAGCATGTACTTGCCCTTGAGCCACGGCGGCCGGGTGAGGCCGGTGGACACGGAGTTGGAGAAGTCCTCGCACACGGTGGTCAGCTGCGTCACGTCCAGGTTGTAGGGTTTCCTCCCGGTGCCGTACCACAGCCGCCAGAGCCGGTACGTGTCGCGGAAGGTCTCGCTGCGGGAAGCCAGGATGCCACGCGGGTCGCGGACCAGCTGGATGACCTTGAGGTTGAGCCGGGGGTCCTCAACCAGGGCCCGCAGGTCGTTCACCTCGGGCACCCGCACGGTCTTGATGGCCACGTGGCTGCGCTCGCGACAGGCCTCGGCGGCCACGGTCAGGTTCAGCAGGCCGCACTTGCGCACGCAGTCGCCCTCCTCCAGCACCAGGTCGCCGGAGCCCGGAGGGTCGCACACGGGGCGCGAGCACAGCACCCTGCTGGCGCCGCGGCGGAAGATCCTGTCGGTGGTGTGGTTGACGGGCGGCGGCTTGATGTAGTTCTCCAGGAAGTAGAGGTCACAGTCGTACAGGCTCCGCAGGAGGTCGCGGCTGGCGCCCAGCATCACGCGCCGGTCGGCGGGGTTCTTGCCCTGGGTGAAGCGCGGGATGAGCGTGTTCTGCACGTGGTAGAGCGGCTCGAACAGGTAGAAGACGTCCAGGTGCTGGTTGAAGAGCTGGCCCACGAAGGACGAGCCGCTGCGCGTGGTGGCCAAGATGAGGACGTGGGTCTTGCGGGAGAGGTTATAAGCGAAGGTGGGGCCCTCCTCGCAGAGCCGCTCGGCCAGGCCGGCCTCCGCCAGCCCGGGGCACGTGTGGAAGGACTTGGCGGTGAAGGTGCGGATGGCCGTGTACTGAATGGCGATGGAGGCCAGAGCAAGGAGGAGGACGGCCTTCCAGGAACATTGCATGGCTGGGCACCTTCATGGGGCTGCTTCTCCACCGCGCGAGGTCTGCGGGCAAAGGCGGGCAGCGTCAGGGGCAGCCAGGCGTGGGTGCCTCACACGGCCAGGGGCCCCGGCTTGCTCTCTTGGAAGAGCTGGCCTCCAGGGCCCACGGATCCCAGCCCAGTGCTCCCACGGGCACCTAAGGCTAGGCAGCTTCTACACCAGACTTTACATTCTCTGGGAGCTTCTGGGGACTGAACAAACTGATCCCTCGAACCCCAGGGTTCAAGCTACAGACTGCTGTGGGGGCCTCCCATCGGGAGCCTGGAGTTCCTTCCTGGGGCCCCGAAATGCCCCGACTCCATACCTAGGAAACGACCGGTTCCTGGCTCAAGCCATTCCCCTGCCACTGCCTGTCACCCCTCCCGGCATCTTCTGGGGCCGCCTGCATCTTCTTCAACCCCTACAAGCTGGCACCCAGGTCCTCCATTCCCTTGCCCACCCCAGGAGGAAGGAGAGCCCATGTCAGATGCTTCCTTCTGACCCAAGCCCCCTGCAGAAAGTGCCCTTGCACACGGTGAGTGGGTGGGCTGCCAGCATCAGGTCATCCTTGCAGGCTGGGCCAGGAACGGTGGACACCCGTGTCACCTGGCCCCCAATTTATGGATGCAGGGGAGCAGTTTACCCCAGATGAGGACTCCTCGGGCTCCCGGAGTCTCTAAGAGTCAGCTGGCCCGCAGCAGAGGTGGGGTCTGGGGCTGCTGAGAAGCATGACTTCTGAGGCCCCAGGCCCTCCAGGATTTGCTCCTGGCCTGGGGGAGGCGTCTAGGCCATGGGCGGATGACCCCACTGACAGCAGAGTGAACTGGCTCCTCCAGGCCCCCCACCCCCACCAGGCCTCAAGAGCTTCCACCCGTAGGCCCTCAGCCCCTTCTGCCCACAGGGTGAGCTCGGGGACCCCCGTGTGATCCAGCAATGGCCCCAGAGAACTCAGGCAGGACAGAGAGAAGAGAAGGGAGTGGAACAGAAGGGGCCCCTCAAGGACTGGAGAAGGCGTGGGGGATGCGGAGGGCCCCAGGGCAGGGAACACGAAGGGTGCGCTTGGGGTCCAGGGCAAGGAGCCAACCTGAGCCTCTGGAAGTTGCCTCCAAGGGAGGCCAGCTCAGCATCCCGCCGTGGGGCAGGGCTGGGCTGTTCCACGGGCACATGCAGGGAGGGCTCCGCCACTCACCAAAGAGGGGCTGCTCGGAGCTGGGGGGTCCACAGCCACCACGTCTCCTGGCCGAGCCGCAGTCCCAGCCTGTGCGGCAGCCCTGTGGCTGGCAAACTGCAAAAAGATTGGGGGGGGGGGTTCTGAGCGGGGGGGCTCCCAGTGCCTCCCTGCCCTTTCTCTCCTGTGTCCTGTGCCCCACAGACTGCCCCCTAGGGCTGGCAAAGAGGGCTGCCTGCTCTCCCAGGTCTGTCACTGACCCATGGCTCCAAGTAACCCAGCGCCATCTTTGATCCCCTGGATCCGGCCCCCTGAGTCCTGGCCTGCACCCCACCCCCTCCACCCACCTGCCTCACCCCCTACCCCTCCCCTCCCAGCAAGTCACTGTCCCTGTGCTCACAGAGAAGCCAGTGGGCAGGGAGCTAGCCACCCTGCAAGCCCAGCCGACCGAGAGCTGGTGCCCCACATGGGCAGCCACCCAGGGAGGCACTCCCCCCCCCGCCCACTGCAAAGAAACTCACTGGCCACAGACACCCCCAGGCCTGCCTAGCCCTGTTCAGCTCTGGCGGCCAGACAGACCCGACCAGACCCAGCGCCCGGCGCCCAGCAGCGGAACAGAGCATCAGACTCAAAGTTCCCCCAGAAAACTGGCCTGAGCACAGCCCCGATTGGTTCTGCATGTAAATCAACAGGGCAGCCTGGCCCTTCAAAGCCCAGCTTGTGCAGTGACTCCCCAGGAGGGGGGCTCACCCCAGGCCTCCAGGTGGAATCGGCAGCTCCGGTGACAGCGGCCCAGACGCAGAGGCCCTCGAGGAGGGACAGCCAGGGAGGGCGGTTCCACTTCCGACCACACTGGAGACAGGAGACCGGCTACCTGCAACTCAAAGCGGACGTGAACCAGGGAGCAGTCAAGACTGTGACACGCCCCACGGGTTCTAAGCTGAAACACCAAGGCCGTAGCACGATTTGTTAGCATCCACGGACTGCTTCCAAAGTGCCAGCGAGGCCCCGTCCACATTAGCTCATTTCTTCCTCGCGAGAACTTGACGTGGACGCCAGGATTCGCCCCATTTCGCAGGCGAGAAAGCTGAGGCACAGAGAGGCCAGGGACTGGCTGGAGCTCACGCGCCTGGTCGAACCCCACCTGGCAGGTCCCCAGAGCCACTCGTTCCCTCTCAGAGATTCGACCTCCTGTCCCTCCAGCTGACACGTACTCGGCCTTCAAACATGCATGCCATCAATGTCCCAGCCCATCTGTGAACGGGCAAGGGAGGGACCGGGCAGCAGAAGGCGACGGACAGCCGATTCCCGAGACTTGGAGCGTGTTCCTCCCCGCTTTTGTCTGGTCTTGCTGACCTGTCGGCTCAAGGCCAAGGGGGTGGACTTGCACCCTTTGTGATCATCCTTCCACATCCCGCTGTTTGACATGACACATTTGGGGGCGGGGTGAGCGGGTCCCCATTTCCCAAACCTCCAGCACCGCCTGCCTCAGCTCACCCAACTCTCCACACCGTGTTATTCCTTACAACCCGCTCTGGGAGGCTAGGGTCCTCACTCCCATTGTTCAAACGGAGAAACTGAGGCTCCAAGACTAAGCAAATGGACATAAGCAGATAAGTAGCTGAGACTCAAATCCTTCTGGGTCAGACTCTTAGGCCAGTGCTCCGGCCCCTTCACCATCCGCTTAGACGGAAAGAAACGGAGCTGAAGCAGGCTGCTAGCCTTGGGGGGGTGGGGCGGGGGGGTGCACAGAGGCTGGGCTGAGATGGCAGTGGGCCAGCTGAGGCTCCGGAGCTGAGAAGTCCTGTGTTAAGTATGAAACTCTGCTTGGTACCTATAGGAAGCAGTACCACGTCACCAGGTGGCAGTAAACAAGGGAAGGGCACAGTCTAGATTTTTGGGAGCCTCCACTGTGATCAGAGAAAACCCGTAACTCTGACCGCACCCCATCCCACTCCTGTCTCACCCTGTGGCAGGACTGGATGAGGTGCCCAGACAGAATGGCTTCTCTCCATTAAATGCAGCTCCCCCGCCAAGTGCAGGCCCGGCCTGCCAACGGCCCCGAGACAAAGGTGAACACCTTTAAAGAACAGGCAGGGAAGGCCATCAATCACAGTGCTAGGTAATATTTTTAAGTTATTGGGGGCCCACTCTTTAGTTGCGACGCCATTTCATTCTGATGTCCCGCTTTGTGCTTGTTCACAAACACCTGTCACACAGCAGCAGGAGCCAGGCACCGTTCTAGCAATTACGAGAAAAATACTGTGAAGGAAGGCAAGCAGTGACTGGGCATTCGCGATCTTTCTCCCAGGCCTGTGCTCCCCTCACAGGCGTCAGCTCCCCTTGCCCCCACACCAAGCCTGTGAGGCTGCCCCTGTCACATGCCCATTTCACAGATGGGAAAGCTGAGGCTCCACAAGGTCGGGTAACTTTCCCAAGCTGACACCCTAGTAAGGGGCGAACCAGGATTCCAGCCCGGGCAGTGTGCTCTGAGTCCACGCTCGAAGCCACTCCCTGGCCACCACATTCAACTCCCTGGGGTCCCCGCCAAGGCAGGAAACAGGAGGCTTAAAGAGACTTCACCTAACTCTAGGATTAGGGTTCCCAAAACAATTCACCCAGGGTTTTCTTCAAAGAGGAGCATCTTCCAGGGAGGGGACCATTCAAGTTTCTCCCCCTCATTTCCCCTCCCCACCCCACTTGAGGCCAGGACTGGAAGCTGCTGCCTTCACTAATGAATCAGAAGGATGGGAAGCATCTCGATGTAATAAATCCCTAAGAAAGCGGATGCAGGTTCACAAAGTGCAGCCTGGGCACCGAGCAAGGGCATGTGTCCACAGGCCCGGCCCGGGAGGGCACAGCCAGGGCATGGGAGCAGGAAGATGGAGGAAGTCAGGCCCTCCTAGAAATGCCCCCGCTCTCCTGCCAGCCTGGCAGAGCCAGGCTCGGGGCTGGCCAAGCGTCCTTGGTATGCTGGAGGCATCTGCCCTGGAAACCAGAGGCCCCGGGGCCAGGGCCCCCCTTCCCACCTTCCCAGGGGAGCTCTGGCCACTGCAAGGGACTCCTCAGTGCCCTTGTCCCCCAGCCAGACTGTGGGCCCACGGCCCCTCCCTGGGCTTCCGGCAGCCCTGGCGTGGCCTCCCTCCGCCTCTGGGTAGTCCAAATCCAGGCAGATTTTGGACAGGGGAGCCCAGAAGCTGTAACCTCTGCTGGAAGGCAGGGAAGCTGGTGTGCTCCACTCCCCAGAGAAGCGCCGGTCTCAGTGTCACTCGCCCTGCGATGGGGGCGCAGATCCGGGGTGAGCTGTAATTCACAGCTAAGAGCTCAAGCCAGGGAACCACGCCCCCAGGATTCTGGTCATTCACCAGCTGTGTCTGAGCCTCACTTTCCCCATCCATTAAATGGGTCTAACCATAGTAGTGGCAGTTGTAAGAATTGAAGGACTTAAAGCTTAGTCAATGCCGGGCATATAGATGTGGCACAGCCCTGTGCCGGGACATGGGCTCTGGCGCCAGCCCCACTGATGGCCAGATTTCTTCCTCTCTCTGGGCTTCTGTTTTCTCACCTGCAAAATGGGGATCATTTTAAGAAGCTGTGTGAGGACTCAGTCAATATGGAGCGTGGATACAGGAGGCACTCAACAAACGTCGGTTCCTGTGAGCATCATTCAGTGTCTCGTTTGCTTTTTGTCTTGGGGAAGCACCTCAGGACAAGCCATCGCTGACTCTGACAGGCAGGCGGACTCTCCCGGACTCGGGACCCAGACCTCTGCCGTTGCCCCTTCGTCCCTCGCTCCTCTCCCAGCCGGAACTTTCTCCTGCGCGGGCTGAGCCGCCGCAGTGGCGGTCCTGCTGCCCTCTGGCGGCCACATCCCGTAGTGCGGCCTGAGCCCTGCGTCTCCGCCGTGTCCAGCTGGGGGGGGGGGGGGGGGGGGGGGGCGGGGCTGCAGCCAGTGTGAGGCGGTGAGGGGCGACGTGCCACGCCCACCCGGGCTGCTGGCCCTGTTCTGTGCGCCCCCTCATCTTCACCCACACTCCAAGAGGCAGGAGCAACAGCAGCGTCGCCTCCGAGGCGCTCTCCCCTGGTCTCACCCCGCTGCGGCAGCGGAAGGCACCCTGAACTGATGTCACGGGCGGCAGCAGCCCACTGCCTCTGCCGGTCCCTGCTGGGTGACCTTGGACTCAACTCCTGGCCTCTCTGTGTGTCGACCCAGTGACTCGAAGGGCCTCCCAGGTCTGAGCAGTGGGTTTCTCTGCCCTCCGGAAGGCCCCATACTCCATTCCCAGAGTTAGGGCCACCCTCTCCGCAGGCCGGGGGACCCTCTTTTGGGAGTGGGAAGGCCTCAGTCATCTTCCAAGAAGACAGCAGAGTTGGGCAGCTCTGTGTACCAGCCCCCCCAGCCTGATCCGTGGCTGCCCCTCTGGGGGCCCAAGAACCAAGGGGGAGCCAGCTCTGCCAACTTCGCCCCCACTTCCTGCCCTGTGAAGTCGCACGCGACCCAGAGCTGTGGCGCTTGGCCTTTTCTGGGCTACAGACCCCTCGGAGAGACACCATCCCCCTTCCCAGAAAGATCCGTTTGTGCCTACAATGTTACACACGCGACTAGGAGGTTCCTGGACCTAAAGCCCACCCGCGGGCGCCCCTCCTCTTCTTTAGAGCCCTCACCCCTTCTACAGGAGCATTCTCCCCGCTCCCAGGATTGTCTTCTCCACGGACCATCTCAGAGAAGGCGCGCAGATGGGTATACGCTGACGTGGAGACCTCACTCAAGATACGAAAAGCTGGAGCAGAAGACACACGTGCAATAGCGTACCACCACTTCTCACTTTGACAAGGCTGTGCGTGTGCATGTGCGTGCGCGTGTGCGTGCGCGTACGTGTGCGTGTATATTTGAATCCATGCGTAAACAACCACTGAAAGAGCTGAACTGAACCACTAACTAGATGCCCCAGTGGGGGGAACTAGGGGACTGTGATGGGGGCGGGGGGTGGCACAGTTTACACTGAGCATTTTGGTTCAGTTTGAGTTTATTAACTTTTGGGGACAGAGCGAAGCCACTCATGCAAGAACTGGAGGGGTGGCTGATGACACGGTGGGGCAATGAAAATCAGTGCTGGTCCTTCACTGTGCCTCCTATTCTGTCCTCAGGGCACGGCCAGCCAGCAACCCTCCCCCGCTGCCAAGGCGCCAGAACTGGGCTCTGTCTGCTCAGGTGGGCCACAAAGGATGGCGGGCGCCTGGGGCTGCCGAGACAGGGCAGGAGCTGAAAAAGAACGAGACCTCAAAAGGGAGCCTGGGGTTGTGGGGAGCAGCTGAGGCCTGAGTCCAGGAAAAGACTCCCCTCCCAGCTTTTTCTCCCTAAAAACAGTTTGTAAAGCCCTGGGGAGACAGGGAGAGCAGGGGGAAAAAACTGAACATCGTAATTCTGACCAGACTCAGGAGCCAGGAGGGAGGGGCCCCGAGGCTCTGGGGTCCCAGGAACTGGAGCAAGGGGCAGGGGAAACTGGACGGGGAGGAGAAGCTGGCACACAGGCCTCTGGGATGGAGACTGCAGAAAGGAAATGCTTAATCCCTGAGTCTGCAGTAGCCAGAGGTGATCCACCATAGATGTTTGTTTAGTTAAGGCGAAAACATGTAAAACAGCCAGGTTTTTTTCTTCCTAAGGAAAATGAGGCAATGAAAACGAGGCAAAGGGAAAACAAGGGTATGAAAGTCTGAAAGAACTAGGGGCCAGGTCAGGGTACAAGAGCCAAGTCACTGCTGGGCTATACATACAGGTCAGAGCTACCTGGCTGCCAATGGGAAAAGGGCAACACTTCATTACACGTTTCATAGGATCCACGAGATGAAGATTAAAGCTTCTGCTCAAGAGAT